GCAGCACACCAACATGGCACATGTATACATATGTAACAAACCTGCACGTTGTGCACATGTACCATAGAACTTAAAGTATAATAAAAATGTATATATATTATTACACTTCTTTTATTATTATTATTATGTAATATTATTACACTTCTTGTAATATATTATTACACTTCTTTTGCATTGTTTTTATATAACCACCATGACAATAGCAGCAGCTACCTTTCAAAGAATACCTGACATATGTCAGAAACTCATCCTAAGAATTGTAAAGTACAGTGTTCTAATCTTCACAACTTTATAAAGTAAGAATGGCCCATTTTAACGCCTGAGGAAAGAAAGTAAAATCCAAAGAGGTTAAGAGACTTGCCCAGAGTCACACAATGGAAAGGATACAGCTAGGAATTTGGCCAGGGTTTCATGGCTCTCATGCCAGTGTTCTTCTACCGTACTATGATTTTTAGACAGGGAATATGGAATGATAGTTTAGAGTACTGATTCCAGAGGCTGACTGCATCCATCAGAATTCTGGCTCTGTAGCCTTAAACAAAGTTATTTAAGTTATTTGTGCCTTAGCTTTTTCATGCAAAAAGTGGCAATATTAAACTAGGTCACAGGGCAATTATGAATCAAGACACTAATTGCACATAAAATCATTTCCATCAGTACGTATATGTAGATTCTGAAAAAACTCATTCAAGGAATTAGCAATAAAAAATATGCTGCATGGATTGATATAACAAAACCAAATGTGCATTCTATAAACTTTTCAATGATAATACAAACACATGCAGGGGCTTTCTATGTGCCAAGACCTGTTGTAAGTACTTTATAAACATTAATTCACTTAATCCTCACAATAAAATGCCTCAAGAAGACTAGCAAGCTTACATGACTTAATCTTGCCAATTTTATAGGACTGATAATATCCTCTCCTTTACCTGGACTCTTCGTAGATGAGCCACACGCTCCTCTATAGAGGTCTGCAAGTCCAAAGGGACTTTCAGAATTTCCTGGTAATTGTCCATCAGAAATGTTACCAATCTAGCAGCTAATAACTCATCCAAGTCCACTTCATCCTTGGAACACAAGATGCACCGGGAGAATGTCTGAACCATCTAAAAAAAGAGCGGGATGAGGGGGGTAAATGCAGTGAGTATTTTTCTGAACTGAGTGCAAACTAATTTGCAAAAAGCAAATATAAGAAATGGTCTAAGGCACAGGGTGCACATTCTACCAAGAGTACCCGGCCATCTCAAATGGGCTGGTAGTCTCAACAACCAGAACAAACAAAATGTGCATCTTCCTGTTAAGAGACTGCAGAGAGATGCTTATCTGAGCAATTTTTAAAGGTACCTCTTTTACACATGATTTTAAACATACATACATATATATACACATACACACATATAAATATATGAAAACAAATTTCGAAAATCATTATCACCATGACTTGAATCATGCAGCACTATTAAGTTCAAAGCACTTTATAGCCATTTAGTCAATTATTATTTATCCTAATTTCATTATTGATTTGTTTTAAACCACTAACACAGTCCACATGCCTCAACCATTACATCTTTTCCTAGTTAACTTATTTTCTCTAGGATTTTCGATATATGACAATCACCTTTGAACAAAGCCATGGGACTTTTCAAGAAGTACATTAAGTGATGAGACTCTCTTTGCAGCAAGCAGAAATACAAAATACATTATAGTATCAATATAATACAATAATTTCCATATAAGTTATATTATATATATAATATAATATAAGTTATATTATATAATATAAGTTAATATAACTTATATTATATTATATATAATATAAGTTATATTAACTACTCTTTTTTTTTTCTTTTTGATGGAGTCTCACTCTGTAACCTAGGCTGGAGTGCAATGGTGTGATCTTGGCTCACTGTAACCTCCGCCTCCCAGGTTCAAGTAACTCTCCTGCCCCAGTCTCCCGAGTAGCTGGGATTACAGGCGCCCGCCACCATGCCCAGCTAATTTTTTTATGGGATTTCACCATGTTGGTCAGGCTGGTCTAGAACTCCTGACCTCAGGTGATCCACCCACCTCGGCCTCCCAAAGTGCTGGGATTACAGGAGTGAGCCACCACGCCCAGCCTAACTACTCCATTCTTAATACTGTTCTTTGGACTGGCTTTTTTTTTCCCCCACTACTTTTATTGCTGACAATCTTCCTTCAAAATATTTAAGCATAAAATCATGTAATTCTGCTAAGACTTCATTTCATTAACACACTGCAAATGATCTTCACTTACATTTACATGTACAGAGAGACACACAGGCAGAGAACTTTTTGCCTGGAGACCATGGACCCCAGGGACTCTGTGATTGCCTGGAAACTGCATGCAAAGTTTTGCACATGTATTCTATATGCAGAATAGATATAAAGTTTTCTTCCGCTTTTCATAAAGGTCCATTAGCCTCTCTAGCCATTCACTCACTCCAAAACAATACAGAGATCAAGAATCCTCCTAGGCACTAAGTGCTCCTCTGATCTTACTCTATTACTTCTAAAACTGGGCCAGTGAATCCCCAGGGAGTACACAGTGGCTTAGCAGGATATGGAAAGCACATACATTCCACTGAAGCACCAGTTTTCCTCCAAGACATTTTTTGAGGAAAATTAAGAGATTTTGCTAGTAAATAAATTCTAAAATAAACTCTCTTTAAAAACATATGCCAATAGAAGCAGAGATTAGATGGTGGTTACTAGAGGCTGGGGGGTACAGGGGCATGGAAATGGAAGATGTTGGTCAAAGGGTACAAAGATCCAGTGAGACAGGAGGAGCAAGTCTTAGTGCTCTAGTGCACAGCATGGTGACCACAATTATAACAATATATTGTATATTTCAAAATTGCCAAAAGAATAGATTTTTAACATTCTCATTACAAAAAAAATGATAAGCTGGTATGGTAATGAATCTGTTAATTAGCTTGATTGACTCTTTCTATAATGTATACATAGATTAAAACATCACATTGTACCCCATAAATATATGCAATTTTTATTTGTCATTTAAGAATAAATTTAAAATAATTTTAAGTGGGAGAACAGGATGTAGCAGATCTCTCTACAGAGTCTGCCCCCTCCTCAAGTCTCCATTTCTCATTATGTTCTTTAAGACACTTAGACCAAAAGTATGACCACAAGTCTGGGTGAACACTGACTGTGGCTCTTTTAAGCAAGCCTGCTTTGTACTTCCCTCTGATCACCCAAACTAATACACCTTACTCAGTCGACTTTCATTCCAAAAAGTCATATCTGATGTTAAAAATCAACCTACCAGTGTTCGGGTACCAAAGCCATCACACAGGGGTGGCATCTCTTTGTTTAAGCAAATCCTTGCCATCATCCTCATCAATAGCTGTAACTTTCTCCTATTTTCAGGAGGCAGGAGAAGGCAGCAAATCTGAAATGCTTCAACTGCCACTTTCTCTTTCTGTAACAAACCTGATTTAGGAAAAAAAAAATTGTTATCTTTCAACACCTATAGCCTAGTAGATTCTATATGGTCATATTTTAACAAAATATATATTAGTAAAATTACATAAAATATTATCACATATTCAACTATACTGGGTCAGTTGAATATAGATCCATTGTCACTCACAAATCGCTATAGAAAATACAAACCATCAACCAGGCATGACAAATATATAGAACCAAATACAGCCATTTTCTCCTCCCATACACTACACAGCTATATCTCACTTTTCATAGCATTCTTTCCTGAACCAGGAGCAGCCAGGCTAACACTGCCCTAACCCTCAACACTCACATTGTTAATTAGTCCAAAATAGAAAGAACATGAACGTGTCATCAGTCAGCAGGCTGACCACCTTGCATGACTCTCACTGACTAAACAAAGGACTAATGCCCACATAGACCACCGCCAAATGGCTCCCCTTCTTTCTAAACAATGCCTGTCAAACAACCCTTCCTTCCAGTTAGGCTATCTTTCTTAGTTAAGTGTGCTGATATAATCATATTATATGTCATCCTTCCTCATGGGCACAGTGGCTCACGCCTATAATCTCAGCACTTTGAGAGGCTGAGATGGGATGATCACTTGAGGCCAGGAATTTGAGACTAGCCTGGGCAACATAGTGAGAACCCATTTCTACAAAAAAAAAAAAAAAATTTTTTTTAATTAGCTGCCATGGTGGCACACGCCAGTAGTCCTAGCTATTCAGGAGGCTGAAGAGGAGAACTGTTTGAGCCCAGGAGTTTGAGGTTACAGTGAGTCATGATGGCACCAGCCTGGGCAACACAGCCAGACTCTCTCTCTCTTTTTTTTTTAAAAGGATATTATAATATTGCTCTCTTTTTTACTATATTTGTCACTGGACACACTTATATCCAAGCCCTCTAATGAGGTAAAACTGCTTCTATCAGTTTATCTGTCCTATATCCAACCATTTCAAGTTACCACTAGTCTTTGGGAGGCAAAAAACATCTTTTATATTGAGTAAGTATTTACTGACCATCTACAATATACAAGAACTGTGCTAGATCCCGGAAATACAAAGACATACCAGGCCTCTTCCTTTGAAGAGCTTATGCACTATGAGGAGAAACCCATAAACAAATAAGTGACAAATGAAAGGCAATGCAAGAAATATCTGCAAGGGCCACAGGAGGGGAACTATAAGCCACTCAATATGACTACAGCACAGGTTATGAGGGGAATGACTTGGTAGAAGTAAAGCTAGAAAGATCAACAGAGATGAGGTCTCAGAAGGCCCTGACTGCCAGATGAAGGAGACTGGGTTTATTCTCAAAGGCAGTGGATGTGCATGGACAGGAAAGGAGGGCAGAAGACAGAGCTTTTCTAGACCAAGTGCTGATCCTAGACATACTCGGGAATGCTGTTGATTACATCATTATCATCTATGTAGACCTGTTTTCAATTCCACATCATCAAATCATGGAAAGAAAAAAGGTTTACGATCATATTTTAATATATTCTTTCATTTACTCAACAAATATTTATGAAGCCTCACCTGTATTCCAGGAACTGTGTTAGGAGGGGACATATAGTGAGGAATAAAGCAAAATCCCTGTGTGATCTCATGGAGCTTGTTTTCCAGAAGATGAAAAGCAAAAAGATATAAAAACACAAGGTCAGGTGGAAAGATGCCATGGAGAAAAATACAACGGAGAGGAGCTGGGGAGTGAGGGAATGTGCTCAAAAAAACACTTCTATCATTTTCAGGAAGGCCCTCTCTAAGGAGGTAACATGTGAGTAGAGATCCAAAGGAAATGGCAGCAAGCCAGGGAAATAGTGCAGAGACAAACTTTCAAGGTGGAGGAAATGGCAATTACAAAGATTATAACGTGAGAGCATGCTGGGAATGTGTAAGGTACAGGAATGGGGCCAGCATCAAGAGACAGTGAGTGTAAGAAAAACACAAGTCAGAAATCAGGTTAGAGAGGCAGCCAAGGGGCGGATTGTGCAGAACTTTGTAGGCTACAAGGCGAAAGCAGGGAAAAAGGAAGACACACAGCATGCTGATGGTCTGAATGGGGATGTAGCAGTTGAACTGGTAATAACTAGTTAAATTCTCTTTCTCCATAAAGCCATCTAGTTTCTCCGTAAAGCCTTCTATCTCATTGTCCCACAAATCCCTTCTTTTCCCAAATTAAAAATCCCTTTGCAAAGGCAGATTTCACCTTATCCTTACTACACTGTATCTACATTGCTTTATGAATGAAGACTACAAGCTAACTGAAAGCATAATACATTTATTTTGGCAAGCCACATTTCCTAGTATAATATAAGGCAAACAGATAAACACTCAAATACATATTTATCAATAGACTACATATTATAGTATATTATATTATATTATTAGTCAGTATTACATGGCTACTAAATGATAATTTTTGAAGTTATGCAACAATATTAGTACAATATTTTTTAAAAATAATAAAAGTATGATGATTATAAAGTCTTTATGAAAAATAATTTATTAAAAAAGAAATATATTTTAAAATTAAGAGTACATCAGGGCTGTAAAATAATCAGAATTTTATAAAGAGAAATTTAAAAATTTCTTTGTGAGGATGATATTAAGCAAATATGTAAAATTATATCCATTGTATCTTTTCAAAAAATTATTACTAAATTCTAAACAACCAGTTCCTTGCCAAACTTAGAGTAGATAATAATTTCAGACTTTGTGAAAATTAAGTGAGGCTAGGCATGGTGGCTCACGCCTATAGTCTCAGCATTCTGGGAGGCCAAGACAGGAGGATCACCTGAGGAGACCAGGCACTTAAGACCAGCCTGGACAACATAGCAAAATCTTATCCCTACAAAAAACTTAAAAAAATTAGATAGGCATAGTGGTGCATGCTTGTGGGCCTAGCTACTTAGAAAACTGAGGCAGGAGGATCACTTGAACCTGTGAGTTTGAGCCTGCAGTGCGCTATGATTGCACCACTGCACTCCAGCCTGGGCAAAAGAGCAATACCCTGGGAAAGGAAAAGGAAAGGGAAAAGGAGAAAGAAACAAGAAGCAAACAAGAAATCAAGGAAGAAGGCATAGGTAAATCCATCTCAGGAATTTATCTACACAAACCTACATACAGGGTGATGAGCGACTATCCTTGACTCATAAACATCCCAATAATTCAACCTTCCTGTGAGACCAGGGTCTCCCTTTTCCTCCCTCCTGTCACTGATCCCAGCTGGGACTCCTCTACAATTCCTTCCAACTGTCAACCTTCCTATTTCCTGTGAAAACAGAATCCTATGCTACTATCTCTTCCTCCTTTAAACCCATAATCATTCCCCAAGATCATCCTCCTGCTTCTGGTAGTGGAGGAGCCACTATCAGTATCTTTAATGGAAGGAAGTCTCTGCTGCACAATATTGGATAATGTGGAGGGAGAGGGAGTTGCTTACTCCCAAAGCTAAAAGAGCAGCATGAAAGGATGAGGTCCTGTCACCTGCAGCTGGAACATGGAATAAAGTTTACCAGACTGGGGAGAAAACCCACTGTAAGGACTGGTTAGGTCTATAACACTACTAGAGTTGAACCACAGTTGAGCTATATAATGAATTAAGTAGGACTCTGTAAGTTGATCTTGTAATTTAGCCATCTTTTATAGCAATGTTCTGAGTAGTGGGGAGGGAGGAGAAGAGCAGAACACTTGTTCCAAGTTACCTGCTTGGAAAGGCTTGGGACAAAACCTATCATTTTGACATAACTTATGAGATAAAATTGAAAACTTAATTCATTTCTCCCTCCAAAGAGGTATAAAATTGGTATGCTCAATTTCCTTTACCTGCTTACTTTTTTCAAAGTATACATTACTACCACCTAATATACTACAGAATTTACTTATCATGTTATCTACCATTGTTTCCCCTCTGCCCCACTGGAATTTAAGCTCCACAGGGTAGGGATTCTTAACACTTTTGTTTGTTGATATGCCTCCCGTAGCTAGAAAAATACCTGGTACATCATAGGTACCAATACATTTCTGTGTAAAGAATGAATGAATGAATGAATACTTGAATACATGAATGAAGAATAAGAATGACCCATCTCTTATTGGGATTGTAGCCAGAATATCTGGATTAAATCCCAGCTCCCACCGATTGTGGACAAGTCAACCTCCATAAATCAGAAAATGTTATCAATAGTCATAAAACCAAATCAATGGACTACACTGGGTATCCATGGGCTATATAGAGGAGTCAAGTGAACTGAAAGTTTCAATGGCATCAGTCATAGCTACTACTACCTTAAAGCATTAAAACTAACATCAGGAGGAAGACACAACGTGAATCACATACAACTTTAGCTAGATTTTCTTTAAAATCTGGTGAAGAAATGTATTGTGACCTAATAGATAAGATTAAATTTGGCTCTGGGCCCCACAACAGCAGGTAAAATTCCACAATGTCCCAACACAAGCATATTATTGAATAATAAATCATTTAATTATGCCCTCCTAAACCCTAAATGCCTAAACACTTGTAGAACCACATTACATAGTATGGAAGAAGATATAAACTTACATAAACATCATCCACATATTATGTTTTTGTAAAATTCACTATGTGTAATTCAGAAAGCCTCTGTCACAGTTATTACTCTGTGAGTCACTGGAAGATTTTCAGACTTGCATTTTTATTACATACAAAAAGATATGTCTCGTTCTCTGGTGTTAGAAGGTCCTAAACAACTCAAACTTTTTCGATTTTTCAGCTGAAAGTTTGTAGATGTCTTTGTTAGCTTCAATGAGAGAACTATCTTTGCAGTTGCCATTTGATAGTTGGCTCCTTGTTAAAGATTACAGAAGTCTTTATTGGAGTCACCTATTAATATACAGGTATAACCTTGTTTTATTGCACTTCCCTTTTTTTTTTTTTTTTTTTTTTTTACAATTCATTCAACAAGGTTTTTATTGAGCCTTTGATATATATTAGTGAACAAGA